GAAACCCCCTAGCAGAGTGGAGTTGTTACACTGGGGTGGGGGTGGGTGACTGAACTGAAGTGTAACAAACCAGAGTAGAGCTGTTACACCAGGGAAGTCTTTCCCCAAAGCAGGGCTCCCAATTGACAGAATATCTTTCCATCTGAGCTGTAGCACTCAGAATTCTGTGGCTCCCAAAAGCCAGAATCCCCATCCATCTTAGCCGCCACAATACTTACAATACAGTCATACAAAAGAAATAACAGTTTTAAAATAATGAAGTCCTTAAAACGGGAGTTTAAAAAAAAAAAGATACATAAAGGTGGAAAATACACAGAAAGTCTGGATACTGTATATTATCTTGCTGTCTTAAAGTTTTTTGCTGCTAAGAGACCTTGGATTATGAAAGCTGCTGGATTAAACCAACCTATTTTAAAAATATCTTAACATCAAATTTTAAGTCAAAAGATGTTACTTTGGGAAAGAGGTTCTGCTTTTACTTCCACAGAAAATGAGAGGATCTAGATTCATTCTGAGTTAAGAAAACTAAGGTCTGATTGAGGAGAACCACTGAAAAAATATCTGATGGGAACAGATGGACCAGATGATCCAAAGTTGCAGACTCCTCTGTTACAGTTTCCTCTGAGTTCTGCATCCAGAACAGCTTCAAAGCTGCCAGCTGAGATGATCCAGCCTCACTGAATTCTCCAGTCAGGACTTGACCATAATCCTACATTTTCTCAGGGTCCCCCAAGAATACCAGCACCACCCCTCCCCCGATCAACAGTAAGTAGTCTAGAGAATATGCCCACAGTCACACAAAATGGATTATGGATGTTTGTCTTTGTTTACAAATTGTTACAATTTGTTATTGGTCATTGTCAAAAACAGGCTAAACAAAAGAGAAATTCAGAGATCTCTTTCTAAAAGAAGGGGTCTATATGGGAAAGATAGGCAGCTAAAAGGGTAAATCACTGAATCTACTTTAATGCAAAAAAAATCAACTATTAATCTTACATATTTTACAATGGTATGGATTTTGGCTTATTGATAAAAATTTAAAGTTAATTTTGTTATACTGTGTGTATATTTCTACTCTTGCTTATGGTATTGTGTTTATGCAGTTCATTTAAATTGCAATGTATAATTAAGAAATACAGATTAATAGTCATTTGTAATAGTCACAGTTATAGTCATGTCAGGTATGTTTCCAAGGTCACACACGTACATGTAGACTGATTAGCTGACCGTCACTTCAGAAACCTACAAATATGGCATTTAATATGTTTAATAACCTAAGGCTTTTTCATGAGAGTGAGGCTTCAGGGAAAATGATGGGCATCGAAGGACCTCTGTATGGAGTTCGTTTTCTTTATGGCAAAAGCTAGCCATGTGGCAAGGAAACTGCCCTTGCCTCCTTTGCGGAGAGTATATTGTCCAAACTGGACCAGCAGGATGCAAAAAAAGTGACTGGACTGACTTTGCCAAGACAAGGTAGGAAAGTCCTTCAAAACGGTCTACTTCACAGGAAAGTCTGTCAGATATTCTAGCTGGATGCCCCAGTGTTACAGAGGGACCAAGAGGAACTGCCCAGGCAGCCTGATATTCCTGTCATCAGGTAACATTTCACCCTTCTGGGTTTTTGATGGAGTTGAAGACTAGATCATTATAATTATAGTTTTCCTTAATTATGATAAAAAGGTGAATTAGAAATAAAACTTTAGAGTCACAAAGATAAAATAGATAATTTCTCTAATTTTGCCAAAATACAAATAGACTGGACATTGTAACTATAATTCTTACTTGATAACTTTTATTGTATATAATCTTACTGTGATAAAGTTAAAAATCTTCCTTTCTAATTAGACGAAAATGGAAATGCTGTGGAATGATCCTCTTGTACAGTTTAAAGATTTGTCGCTCAAATTGGTTTAATAAAACACTGATTGTCTAGTGGCCAAGCAGGCAGTGTAGGTGGAGCAACCAAACTAAGGAAGATGGCAAGGAAAAGCACAGAGTCAGAGGGGTCACCAGCAGACACAAGGGAACAGATGAAAGATTCTACCACATGGCAGAGCATAATAAGGAAGAGTGGTTAACTTAAAATGCAAGAGCTGGTTAGTTGTAAGCCTGAGCAACTGCTGGACTATTTAAAATATTAAGTCACCGTGTGTTTATTTGGGAGTTGGTGGGACAGAAACTTCTGTTTACAGACCATCAATTGCCTTTGTTAACAAATTCAGGGTATGGGTACACAAGCAGCTCTTTGGTCCCTGCTGTGTAGGTTTCCTTGAAGATTAAGCATTCTATCCCATAGGAAACTCCTTAAGCAAAAGATAAACAACTCAGAATAGCATCAAGAAGTCCTTGAAACTGACCAGATTCAGGAGACTCCTCCCTGCCATACAAGCAGAAAGTCCCTCTCCGAAGAGCTGAGTCATTCTGCAAAACAGACTAACAAGCCCTACCCTCACCCCCAGCAGAGTTGCAAAGACTCTGAGACCAGACCAGCTCTCTGGAAGAAGCAGAAACAAGTGTAGCTGCCTGGGAGAGGTCAAGACCCTGGAAAACGCACTCTCCAACCTGTTGAGCTACCTGCAGGCTGGGCAACTGATCTACATTCCCAGCTTTTTGAGATGTCACTTATGGTGGGGTGGGCTTCCACCTGCAACTGTCATTGAGTCATTACTGCTACTATAAATAACCCCTCACCCATATTCCTGTTAAGTAACCCCAGTTAAGACTCATTGATTAATCAAGCTGGACTTTGGTGGTATTTGTACTTTGGCCTGTAGTGGGGCTTCCCATCTGGGATGAGTAGTGTGATGCATCACCCTGGGGAAATATTTTGTCACAGGAGTCCTGGGGTGTCTAAACACGAAATCTGATTTACTCTGTAAAAACATGGGATAATGATCCCTTCCTGGAAATCTGTTCTAGGCTAAGGAACTGATAATCTCTAAAATATTCAGGTACCTGAAGTGCTGGTACTTTTAGATGGCTCTAAGTAGGCAGGTGTCATAAAAAGTAAAAACAAATTTACAAAGCATGTTTTCTTTTAACTTATGAGCAGATCCTTCTTAATTACACAGTTCAGAATCCCTTCATAGGGTCAACTAAAACTGTCTAAGGACATGCCAATCTCATGAGGATAAAGGAGGAGATGGGGATGAGCTAGGTAGCCTGTCTCACCAGCAGGGAAGAACAGCCTTCTTCTGCTATAAGAATTTGCAACGAACTGAATAGGTTATGCAAGGGATTTTGTTTAACAGTGCTTCAGTGTAAAAACAATATTTTATTTGCATGTATGATAATCACCTTTACCTGGATCCTCCATGGGTAACACACACATGAAATTTGGTATTAAATTCTCAAGTGGGAATTGATCCTTTGTTACAGATTCACTCCTCTAGGATAGTAACTGAGAGTCAATATGTGCCTTTCTTTTCCCTTCATTATCACAGACCTCCTTTTACACACACACACACACACACACACACACACACACACACACACACGGTAATGTATTGCTTCGTGTAAATTCAGACTTTGTAGAAGACTCAGTCTCAAAAGTTGAATTATCTTCTGTTCTCACACCCCAGCCCTGCACCCGTCACGTCACCTAACTAAAGCATAGGTGTGATGGGGTCCTATGGTTACAGTGTCTTTCTACTTATTTATGTATTATGACTCATTGCTGCATTCTGGCCTGAATCTGACTATACTGGGAACAAAGCAGGTCAAAAACCTCTCAGGATTCCGTAGACTCTGAGTCTGCGGAGGGGCTTGGTATTCAGTCTTGGGTCTCTCCCTTTTGATGACTAATGTTAAATTGTTTGACTTTCTACAAAAATATTTGGCTGTGCTTATTTACATAATTTCATCCCCAGGGCACACAGTAGGCTCGTATTTGTTGCACCGAATCCCCACGGGAATGAGAAGACAGGATGAAGACAACAAGATCATGATTCTCCTATACACAGACCTGAGTAAGAAGGGTGAAATCGTCACCTAATTTGTACAAGGGTCCATGCATTCCCTTTCCACTCTGAGCTAGGCATCTGTTTAAAAAAGAATAAAAGGCATAATGGGGAAGTTCCAGCACCCCTGAGAAAACGCCATTATTATCCTCACCACATAGGTAGGCACACACTTTCTTTTAAAGTTACTTACTTCACAGGAGAGCTCATTAAGAATGCCTCCCCCACCCACGTGCACAACTCTTCCAGGGAAAAGAGGCTTTGGAGTACCACATGCTAGAATTACATCTAACACTTGGGAGAGGCAGTCTAAGACCGACCACACCAGTCCACAGGTAATAAATGATACAATCAGGTAAGGGCTTTAAGAGGCTTCCCCCATCCCCTCCTTCCTTCCAGCTCTTCCTTCCTTTCTCTTTAGATAGGGTCTTTTGTAACTCAGGTTGGCCTTGAACTGGGATCTTCCTGGCTCTGGCTCAGTGTTGCTAGCACCCAGCAGTGGAAGGTGATATTTTTTTTTAAATCAATGTTTAACATTAGGCGTCAGCATTGAAACTTCTTAGACCATCAGAAGTCATTGTTCTACATCTTAAAAAAAAAAAAAAAAGCACCATTGTGGATGTGATTGGCAAACACATTGTTACACATTTCTGCATTTTCTTAAACTTTATTTGTATTAGGCTCCACCCTTACAATTTCCTTCTAATCACCACAAGCTCGATACCTCTCATTCTCAGACTCTCAAAAGTTCCCCCACTGTTGGGAAAAGTAAGAAAGGGCTTGACTTTCCAGGTTATCTGGTTTTGTCCCTAAGACACCCAACACACCGCACCACCCACGACCCCTGGGGCAAGGATCGATCGACTGGAGCGAAAACACTTCAGGGCTGCTTGGATGCAGGAAAGCCACTGCAGGTCTCCTTTTTCTGCCCTGTCCGTCAAGGTCACCGGTTCGACGGGCAAAACTCCACTGACACTGGCTGGGTCACCAGGCGTCCCTTGCCCTGCACCTTCCCTTTTCCCTTTCCTGGACCCGGCTCACCTGACCACGTTGGGGTGCTCGAAGGTCTCCAGGTGCCTCAGCACCGCCACCTCGCGGATGGTGGAGAGCGGCATACCCTCCTCTCCGGTCTGCACTCGCACGCGCTTCAGAGCCACGAAGCGGCCGCCGTTCTTCAGGTCGCGGGCCTTGAACACCTTCCCGTAGGCGCCCTCGCCGATCTCCGCCACGCACTCATACTGCTGGTCGGCGCGGCTCAGGCTGTCCTTCTCCATGCTGGCTGGACGCTGCCGGCGCGGCACGGACCGGTCGGAGTGTGCGTTCGCTGCCTGCACGCCTAGGCTCGGGGACGCCCGCACTGGGGACTCGCCGCTGCCGCCGGGCTGGACCGAGCGACCTCGTCGCCCCGCGGGCGAAAGCCGGGCGCAGTCGCCGCGAAACTCCGCCTAGCCGAGCCGCCGCGCCGCCGCTGGAGAGCGCCGATCCCTCCTCTTCCCCCTCCGCGGCGATTACATAGTCTGCCCACAATCTCTGCACCTAGGAGGAGGAGGAGACGGGAGGACAAGGGGAAAGTGCGATCAGACACACAGCCCCAGAGGCTCCCACCCACCGGGTTCCACCAGCTCCCCTCCTCCTCCCCTCTGCTCGCCCCGACCCTCCACCCGGCAGCCTGATCTCTGCCCGGTTTCTCTGAAGAAAGCCGAGTTACTTTTCTCCCCAAGCTCGTGCAGTCTTCGCGAGGGGAGGTTGCAGGGGCCCCTCGGGGATGAGCGCCGCGCGGGACGCAGCGGGACGGGAGGGGGCGTGCCGAGCAGCCCAGAGTGTGCCGGGAGCGCGGGGGAGGGGAGGCGCGGGCGCGTCAATGTCACGACTCAATGTTTATACCTACACCGTTGTCCTCCGCCGCCCTCCCCGGACTCCGGGGCCCTGGACGTGCGGGGGACCGGACGGCTGGGGGGGGTGTTCGGAAGCTGCTGTGGGGGGGCCGCGGGTTCACCCGTGTGCGGCCGCGGAATGGGGTTGGGGCTCCCAGGACCCTGTAACCCGATGCTAGGAGCATGCGAGCAGGGGTGGTCAGACATCTGCTCTCGGAAATTGCTTCCTTTCTTTCTACTTTCAGTTTTTCTACCGAGACCTTTCAAAGGGACTCGCATACACAAACGGTCTTTGGGGTATGGCGATCTTAGTGGGAGACAGAATTGTGCCTCGGACTCAGAGGACCTCCCTGGTGCAAACTCCGGGAGGACGGACCATCTGGTAGGGGAGGGCTGGGGCTACCAGGGGTGGGAGAGCGAGGGGCCCTGAAAGGGGAGAAGTGCCTTGTCCTCGTCCCCCCCCAACCCGAGATCCCAGGGGTGTTGGGAAGGGAGGTCCGTCACTTTCGTTCGTCCTGTCCTGAAAGAGTAACTTGGGGACTTTAACTGGTCCTTGGGTTTTCAGCTGACTTCAACCCTCGCACCCGAGTAGAAGCAACCGCCCTTACGACGGTGGGGGCGGGAGACTAGCATTGCACTCCCGGGTGTGACAGGGGCTGCCCTTGGGTTGCGACTGCAGACCCTCCGCCCGGTGTCCCGAGCGCCTGGAGGTCGGAAGCTGAGAAGGTCGCTCGGCTGCCCAGCGGCTGGAGGCCGGGTCCCACGCGCGTCGGGCGTCCCCTCCCCTTCAGTCGTTAGGGACGACCGAGAGAGTCTTCCCGTCCCACGGCGGCCCCAGCCCAGGCTGGACCTTGGCCCACGATAGCCCCGTGTCCGGAACCCACGGCGTGCGTTTACCTGCCCCGCACCCCTCATCGCCCGCTCGCCCTTGTGCCTGGAATTAAAGAACACATGGCGCGACCCCCACTGGGTGCGGATGTTGCACAGCGCGGGCAGGGCAGGGCCTCTCCGGGCTCCCTTGAGAGCTTTCCTGAAAAGCTGCGGAAAGGACCCCCAGACCTTGCCCGGCCGTCCGCCCCAGGTCGAGGGCCACACAGGTAGCGGGAGCCGCGGCCTCTGCGCCCGCCCTCCCCCTCCGGCCGCGTCCAGCTCAGGCTCCCGGAGGCGGCAGCCGTCCCACCCCCGCAGGCCCGCACCCCCCGGCCCGGAGCGGCGGTGCCTAGCCCCATCCCCTCCTCCACTTTTTTGTTGTTGTTGTTGCTTTCCCACGCCGGCTGAATGTGACTTGACCCCATTTCAAAAAAGTTTGACATAGTGCTTCAACATTTCCGCATTCCTCCGCGACTACAAAGGCTGCTGCCGCCTCCTTCTGCTTTCTGTCTCTGCTCTCTGTCTTCACACTCAATGCAATCGTTCATGAGCCTCTCCCGAAGCCTTGCCAAACGCCGCAAGGGTCGCCACCCGCGCAGCGAGGGGAGGCCGCCCGCGGGACCGCGACTCGCGCGTGTGCGCAAACGCAGATGCGCCCGCGCAGATACGCCCACGTGCACAGGGACGGGACGAGTGCGCTGCCGAGCCCCGGGCTGCTCTGGGCCAGGGTGTGTGCGCATTTGAACTGCAAGGCTTTAAAAAATAATAATAATAAAAGTACGCTTGGGGCACGAAGCAAGCACGCGTGCTCGCGGGGTCTTCAACCCCGGTGGGCTACGTGCATTCCTCGGTGCATAACCCGCCCGCGGGGTCGCCTGCGGGAAGCCTGCGTGAACGTTCTATCCCTCGGTGGGGAAGATGGAACCCCTACCCACACCTTGGGGGGCTTCAGAGGGAACTTGCCCAGGGGAAATAAACGTGGGGTGCGGAAACACACCCTCGACCCACCGAATCCCACCCAGACGGTGCGATTTCGACCTTCGGTGTGACTGTCCTTTGGGAGACGTTCCACGAGAATTGAACGTACGGGGGTGTTTGTGCGCAGGAGCCGTCAAGCTGGCACAGGACCCTGGTTGTCGGGGTGTCCGCGGTGTGGGAGGTCCCTCTGGAGACCTAGCTCCTCCAGCTGACCCCCATAACTTACCCAGGCTCAGCTGCTAAAGGGTTAACCCAAGCAGATTGCGAGGGGCCACACAGCTCCCCCCAACCCCCCTTCACGCTCACCCACCCACGCCCTCGCCGGGGTCCCCAGCCGCTCAGCCCACCCACGCGAGCCCGGGGCTCCTTACCTGCGGGCCGGGGGCGCCGGCCTCCTGCGAAGCTGCAGTGTCTGTCGGGGCCCCGCACGTGCTCGCCGCGCGGAGCAGGTAACTGACTGCGGCCCGGGCGAGCAGCGCTCTGCGGGCAGGGGGTGGGCACAGCGGCGGAGGGCGGAGGGACGGCGGAGGGAGGGCGCCGCCCGCGGCGAGGCCGGCGAGGCTCGGGTCTCTGGCCGCGATTGGGGGCCCCGAGGCCGGGAGGCTGCGCGGCGGGGCGGGGGCCTGCGAGCCTCGGGGTCTCAGACCCACCCGGAGGCGAGTGTGCAAATTAAAGCCTTCCGGAGCAGAGGAGCAGCGAGGCCCTGCCCGGGCTGTGCTCCCCGGCGATCGGCTCGGAACGGGGGGCCCGGAGGGCGGGGGAGAGTTAAATGAAAATTTCCGGTTCTCACTGCAGCCACTCGAGTGGGGGGGGGCGGGGGAGGGAATCTCGCAAACTGAAATAAACTATGTGAAATGAACCGGGTGGGATGCATCCTCCGGAGTCGGCAAGGGTTTCTACACACAAGGTCCCCTAGGGTTGGGGTTTTGACAGGGCGAGGCAGGGGTATCACTCGGATGAGAAAAACACAAAACAACAGTAATTATGAGGGGACCGTGGGGTGGTAGTTCGCAGCACTTTCCTACAAGCAAAAATCGGGAGAAGTTTGGCAGGATGCCGTACAGAAAAGAAAATACTAATCTGTCCAAGCACTTTTCACTTTCTGCATGAGCTACATTTGTTTTGTTTTCTTTCACTTCCTTTCGGCCTCAGGGGGGGGAAAAAAAGCCCTATCTTTTCCTTTTGGACAGAGGCTATGGTTTAGAAATTGTCAGGCACTCTTGTTGTTAACCATCTACTTAAGGGGCTGGCAGGGTCACAATTATTATTAAGTGGTTAGTAACTGTTGAGGGTTCACTAAGTTATTTCTGGGGAGCTAAAAAAGATTCAATTTCAGTATAAATAACAACTGCAAAATAATAGGCACTTGCACACATGAAGAAGAGTGCTTAATTTAAGTGCCTCATTGGGAGTTTGAAATTTGAAACTTTGTAAGAATGTCTCCTTTACCTAAGAAAAATTGGATGCACTACTTCAGCTGAAAATGAGGTTTTGGAGGGGGGGTCTTCAAAACTTCCTATAAGGAGTAAAAGGAAAAACAGCTGTCTTTGGAAAAAAATTCGATGTTTTACAATTTCTTTATCTGTAGAAGACTTGAAACTTTGAAATATCTCAAGGAGAGAATGCGAGAGAAGAAGGGGGAATTTATGTACCCTGTGGAAAAATCAAAACCAACAAAATTCTGTTTGAATTGTAAATATTACTTGTATGAATGTTTTGTTTTTTATTAGACCATGTTACTAATTTCACAATGGATTTTTTTGCCTTTATAAAATTAATTCTGTTACAATGTGAAGCAAGGCTAAAGGAATAAAAGTTACTGGAAAACTGCAGTTTACAGATGCATTGTAATAATTTTTCTTAAATAACAAAAATAAGTAATGGTGTGCCTTTAAACTAACTCATAAAACACTTTTTGTGTTTGAGTACATCTTCTAAGTTAAAACCCAGTTTCTGAGCAAATCTTGTTTATAATTTTAAATATATATGCAAAGTAAATTATTAAATATTATTTTTATGAAAGTATTGAATCACTACCAATCACTGGGCTCTGAGCTGGAGATACAAATGGAAGTCATCCATTTTAATGACTGCTGACACTTCTCAATGCTTTATAAAACAAGATTTATCTGTTGGTAATTAATTTGCTAGTCTTATCTAAAAATAATGTTCAGTAATTAGCTGCAGGAACAAACCCATGGTGTCATGAATATATTTAAGTAAATACTTTGTTCAAAAAGAGTAAGTGTGTCATGAATATATTTAAGTAAATAATTTGTTTTAAAAATCATATGTAGTAAGTGTCTTTGCAGAAAAGTGTTTATTTTTAGTCTGGGTAGTATTTTTAATTACAGCATTTGAAAACAACTGTTACTAACTGGATTAGAAATGTCATGATTTAAGTTACAAGATCACTTGGGCAATGAAAAAGCAAACCCTCAAACCAATGAAACTCTTAGCAGGTTGTAACTCACTTGGCATCCTTTTTTGTTTTTTCCTGCTATAACTTATATTTTATGTTAATTTAGCATTAAGCACCTTTCAAGGTTATGGTTCATATTAAGTACCAACTGATTAAAAATTAAGACTCAAGGAAGATTCACAACTCTTTGCATTGAAATAATGAAATATGAGGTTTTTGTTTATGAATAACTTCCTCTGTGGGTAGCAGGCTATCATAACAAGATTTGTGCTAAGTTTACAAACTATGAACCAAAGTCCGACTTCTTTGTTGAGGAGTGTCCTACGAATGAATACACAGCATTTCAAGAATAATGACTGGACTCAGTGTTTTCATACTGCCTGTCATATTCCACAAATGCAAATCAGAATCATCTCTGTGGGTTTTTAAAATTGGGAATTCATGTATTTAACTCTAAACTGAGAAGCTGAGTGTTCTATAAGGGATAGATGTCATATGGGAATAATTTTATGTCCAACTGTGTAACTTTTTTTCTCTTAAAAAAAATTAAAACTTAAAGTTCCAATGTATAATTTTAACCTTGTTAAAGAAATTAGTAATATATTTAAAATAGCAGTAACAGAATGTATAATTCTAAGTCATCTCTGTCTTATAAGAGGTTTCAGGTGTGTAAACTACTTTTCCAGAAACTTGGAAATGCAGTCTTTTGGTGATTCATTTTACATTTATTTTAATTGAAGTTCCATATAAATGTATTTTTATAGATAAAATTCACCTATTTATTATTTTGATAAAAGCATTTTTGGTTCAATAACTTTGGAATGAGTTACTTTACTTTTAGCCCAATTTGTATGTATGTATAAAGGTTATCTCATTTTTCAGTAATTATCTTTAAAAAATTACTTTTTATTACACACAATATAATACATTACAACATATTTTAATGCATTATTCTCCATGCTTTAGACATTTCCAAGGTATTTTTTTAGTTTTCCCCTCAAATATAAAATGGAAAATTTTCTAAATATTTTAGGAAGAATCATTCCTTTTATCAACTTTTTCAACTGAGAAATTCTGTACTTGAAAGAATTTTAAAATTCAAGCTATTAAATGAATACATTCCAGCCAATGTGGAAATTACCTGAGTTTTTCTCTTTTTATTGTAACATTTGATCCAATGCATTGCATTTAAGCAGTGTAACTTGAAAAGATCTTTATATTTGCTAGGAAGGGAAAATGCATATAGTAGTAGTTATAAATTTTAAGGAAGAAAACCCCCAGACATTATTATCTTAGGAGACATTCTGTTTTCATAGTTCTAATACTCTGTAATTATCTTCGTGCAACATGTCAGCACTAAACTCAGTTGTATAATTCTCTCTTTCTCTCTCTTTTGGTAGGCACCCATATCTTCCTTTTCCTTTGTATGTGCATACCTGTAATATTCTTGGCATATTGTTATGGCATGTACGAGACATGTCCCTAAAATCTTTTCATTGCCCATGTTAGAGTTTTGGGTGATCTGAAAAGTAATTATGGACATATACTTAGAAGAGATGATGGTGATCACACTGAAAATACAGACAAGCCATTTTCAATTTAGAGGAACTTACAGTTTTCACTAAGTTAATCTTCACAATTTCACTGCAGATGTGGCCTAAGGGCTGTGTTTCCATAGCTGCTTTTGGTTGAGCTAAAAGGTGTGGGGGTGTGTGTAGCTCTGAGATAGCTTCTTCAGTTGCAGCAGGGAAGGTCCAACCTAGCAGGGGTAGAGTGATGAAGTGGAAGTCTGGGAAGTAGGAAGAGAAACAAAGAAGCCACCCAGGAAGAAACTTGTGTGAATGGCTTGCAAGGCAGCAGGGGCAAAGGAAGGAGGCGCATGCTGAGGTTGTGGGGCCGAGAGATGGAGCCTTGGTGCCCTAGGTATGGTGTATCCAGGCAACCCGATTCTTTCAAAGTGAATGGAATTCTCTGCCTCTTCTATTCTGCAATTAAATCCGCCTTATTAAATAAGACTGCATAGAGTGTGTATCCATATTCATGTGACTTAGTTTGTGTTGTCTTACTCTGGATTTTTTTTTTCCTGAAAATAGCATAGAATAGAATTTGTTGCAAAATTGTTGGAATGTCTGTGAAGCGCACAGTACACAATAGCAGCATGTGGTGCAAGGATTTTAACACAGATAAAAGAGCTTTTAAAGAACCGGCCTTTAATTACTTGTTTGAAATTATAAATGAATCAACCATCACTAATAAAATGTGATGGATGGCAGTACCACATCTAGGACCAGAGTATGGAGAGTTAGAGATCTCAGGTGAGCATAGGATAAATTCAAAGGCATCGTGAAGTGTAACTTAGGGAGATGTCACATAACTGAAAACTATTAAAAGCAGTTATGGCAGCCAGTCTCCAGAGAGTCTTGAGGTGGAGGTAGGAAGGAGGACAGTCTATGTTGTGGATCTGATAAGCTAAAATTGAAATACCACGGATTTAGAAGTGCTGATCAGAAGCCACTTTTAGAATGCATAGAGGAAGAAGCTGTGCCTCTATGTTCCTGTTTCTGCCCCCATTGGGCCATGTGCATGGTCTAAGGTCTTAGATGAGCAAGGAAATAAATTTGTTCAAACTTACTCATAAGTTTGCAGCAATGGTTCTCAGCCACAGTGACTGGCAAGGATTTTTGTATGTTTTTGTCTATGGAAGAAGTAACTTTGCAGCCTTTTTTCTCTCCAGGGTGAAGTCTATTTTTTTGGGGGGGGGGATATACTAGAAGAAAACATTTAGATATGATCCAATGGAAAGCTTTAATAAAATCTAAGGAGCATGTTGTTGATTTCAGGACCTCAGAAGCCCATCTTCTCTGCCTGGGATCTCTTTCCTTTGTAGCCCTTTGCCCTGAGTCTTCTTGTCCTTTCAAAGCTTAGCTCCTCCTGAAAACCTTCAACATTGTCTCACTTGGAAGATACCCTTTCAGTTCTACCCCTTGAAGTCATCCGCTTTCTGTGCCACTAAAAACTTGATGCTCTACTGTTTCAGC